AGAATCAGAATGAGCTTTATTGCCAGGTATGTTTACACATACGAGGAATTTGTTTTAGTTACAGAAGCGCCACAGTGCAACAGAATGACAGTGACAAGCCAGGACGCAGATAATAAAAAGAATAATATACAAATATACAAAATAGACAATGTACAAAATATTTAACAATGGACTCAATGTGATTGTCCCACTTCAGGTCCAGAGAGATTGTGGTGCCCAGGAACCTCAATGACTCCACTGTCGTTACAGTGCTGTCCATGATGGTGATTGGGGGGAGAGCAGGGGGGTTTCTCCTGAAGTAGATTTCATGGCCACAGACGTTAGAGCCACAGGTCTGTAGTAATCAAGTCCAGTAATTTTGGGTTTCCTTGGGACGGGGATGATGGTGGAGCGTTTGAAGCATGAGGGGACTTTGTAGGTTAAATGAGTCCTGGTAGGAATGCACATGTGAGGTCGAAACAGGCCTTATGTGCTTATGCAAAGTCTTTTTGTGCTTAGTGCTAGAATATCTGGCCAGATGAGGAAAAGGGTGAAAATCCTATATATATATATATACTGTATATATGTATATATATATATATATATATATATATAATCACTCAAATGCATCTTTACCTTTGTATAGAGTTAAGCCACCTTTTCACTATCTTTGAAAAATGACAGACCGGATGTCATACATTTCCAATGGAGAGTAGCACAGAGCTGCATGGATTTCTGATCATATGTGTATGTATACTTGGAAAATATGTGTATGTGGAAAACTTTGAGATTAGTAAAGAACAAAGTGAGAATTAATAATATTTTTCCACTAAAACTAAAAAATTCTTTAAACACCATTTCTGTAAAAGAGCTGGTTATGAATAATGATGTCCGGAATAATTATTTTATATTGTTATTATTATTATTATTATACATTGATTAGCTATAGAAAACCTGGTGTTTTGCCATATTGGTGGCCATTTATTTTCATGCATTCATTATTCATTCATTTTACCATGGTGAATGAGTAGAGTAACTGGTTCACGGCCAATTTGAAAGTTCTGTGTAACTGCCACTAGGGGGAGAATTGTTACAATCTCATGTGAATGTCGGAGATAGTGGAAAGGTAGCTTTAGTGTAGAGAGTTATGTTTTTGATTTACTAAAAAAGAACCGACTCTTGAGAACCATTCGATTGTTGAATTGGACTACACTGGTTGTGCTGTATGTTTGTGATTCACTAAAAAGAACAGGCGCTCTGTTTCGCGATGTAGAATCAGTAGCGGTGTTATGGCAGGAAACGCTTGTATTTTAGTATGGTGTTCTGATTGTATGCACTTGTGAGAACCCAAAAACACCATTTGATTACAGCAGGGGTTCTCAAACCTCTCCATGAAGTACCCCCAGCACTGCACGTTTTGTATGTCTCCCTATATCAGACACACCCACTTCAGGTCTTGCAGTCTCCACTAATGAGCTGATGAGTTGAATCAGGTGTGATAGATGAGGAAGACATACAAAATGTGCAGGGCAGGGGGTACTCCAGGACAGGTTTGAGAACCACTGGATTACAGTATTTTTTTATAAAAATGGAAACAGTAACCAAGCCTAATGACACCCCGGTCACACCATTAATTGAACTTTCAGTGAACTTTACATTGAAACTGTACAATTCCAAACATTCATATTCAGTTTGCCTCCTGAAATTTGAGAAGCTTCAGTTTTGCTAGTAATTTACAGCATTCAGTGGTGTACCTGCCAAAAAGACCCATTTATAACACAGATCTACTTTAAATATCAAGAGAATTGCTGCCATCTGGAGAGCACTCTTTATGCGTTAGTCTTTTCCGTTATTACTGATAGAAAGACTCAGAATAGCAGTTGGAGTGGCACTCTGTTCTTAATCACTTCCACTCCCCAGAAGCCTCTCTGAGAGCGACAGGAGGGCTCCTTGATGACGTGAGATCTGAAGGGGGGCAAGTGAGTGAGAGATTTCTCCTTGTTTTTGTACAAAAACTATTTGTGTTAGGTTAGAGTACAAAAAGACACAATATTTGTAATAAATACAAGATGAGTGTGCTGCTTAATGAGGAATATTATTTTTGTGAGCGTGACCTGAATGGCTGGTGCTTGTTTGGTGAAAAATGGAAATCTGAGGTAATTTAATCAGGCAGGCTACAAGCAGGTCAATCTTTTCATTCAGTCAGCATTTTTAGGTGGAAAACTAATGGCGCTAATTAAGGACGAATGTCTAAGTACTCCATATAACAAAAAGTTGGTACAGAACTCATCAAAATCCCAAAATGCCTTTGTGACAATGTTCTCTTCATGAAAATGCCAGAAATCTATAGATCTGCCCAACCCACTCAGTAATGTGAAATCATATTTTCCCTCTAACTAGACAATCAAGAGTGGACATGTTCATAATTGAAACACTGGAAAGGTGTTATTGAGGGAGAAAGCATATCTGCAGAAAGACCCTTGAGCATAACACCTTATCTCCTGAGATAATGAGGGGGGAGGGGATTATGCTATTTTCTTGAGCTGAAATGAAGCGGTGGTAAGCCTGGCATCCATTTAAAAGCACTTAAAAAGAGCGTGTTAATGTAAACCATGGTATTTTTGCTTTGAATTTGGCGAACAGCATTCTGGCAGCACTTTCCATGACCCCAGCCTTGAAGCTACTGAGATTACTGCATAGGAAATTAATATTGTAATGCGGTACAAATGTATAGTACAGTTTAAAAGGCTTTTATAAAGTATACATTTGAGGTAAGTTAAAAACAGCACTTTGAGTGATAATAACAGTTATTTAAACACAATATATGGCTTTAATTAAATGTTTTTTTAGATAAATACATGGTACAGATAAGCATGATAAGCTTGATGTGTGGTTCGCAAACATAACCCAAATTAATTATTCATAAAGAGTTCTTTCGGAAGACAAATTTCACACCTATCCCTATCCACCTATCCTCTCCTTACATCCACTTTCTGGAGTTTGAGACAGTGTAATCACCATCAACAGCCCATATTCTCTTTTCCATTCTCTCTTCTCTTGGGTGACTGACTCTATAATTATACTTATCATTTTGTTTTTCCTCTAATGAGAACCTTTCATCTCCAAAGCGTAAAAATCAGTAGATATACAGGCGTCTCAGACAGTACCCCATGGCTCGTCTGACGGAAGCCTTTGAACACATGCAAAGGGGAAGGCGACAGATTATTGTCAATGGCACCACCAAAGCAGTTCTCATGCATTTAAAATTAACAAACAACACACTTTTTTACGTAACATGCCAGAGTTCATCCAGAGTTCAAGTAAATATTTGTTTTCCGTTTCTGATAGAAGGGCAGTTAGAGTTAGCTTTAAATATATAGAGGGTATGAGGTCTTGTATAAGTAATATATAAATAACACATAAATAACTAAAATTATTTAACATATAAATAACAAAAATAATTTAATAAATATAAATTATACATGGGTCAAAGACAAAAAGTGGTTTTCAAACAACAAAACAATGAAAGTTTAATAATTTAACATAGCTTTAATTTTGACTTTAAATCCAAATTAAATTTTTCCAAACACATAAGAATGTGTCCTGTTTATTTATTTATTTATTTATTACAAAAACTAAGTTTTTAATCATTAAAAATATAATCAAATTTAGTATAACCACTTTTTTCTTTTATATATTTTAATAAACACTGATCAGAATAAGTATGTTGTTTCATTTTTACATAAATATATGTTACACTGAACAACAATGGAACATTATTTCACCCATATTTTGAGATTTTCACAAAAGTTATTTGAAACATTAAAGACATAAAAAACATTTCTTGCATTTAATATGCTTTCTATGTATATAAAATAACTTCTGTAAAATTAAATTTTAAATGTCTCATCTTTGACCCACATGCACTATATTTGCGTTATGCAAAACGTCTCTAGGTTACGTATGTAAACATGGTTCCCCGAGGGAACGAGACGCTGCGTCGCTATGCCATACGGCATGCATCCCTGCAGGCATTTTAATAAACACTGATCAGAATAAGTATGTTGTTTCATTTTTACATAAATATATGTTACACTGAACAACAATGGAACATTATTTCACCCATATTTTGAGATTTTCACAAAAGTTATTTGAAACATTAAAGACATAAAAAACATTTCTTGCATTTAATATGCTTTCTATGTATATAAAATAACTTCTGTAAAATTAAATTTTAAATGTCTCATCTTTGACCCACATGCACTATATT